GGCCCATAATATTAACCGTTTACATCATTAACACACTGGAGAGATGGCCCATAATATTAACCGTTTACATCACTAACACACTGGAGAGATGGCCCATAATATTAACCGTTTACATCACTAAAACACTGGAGAGATGGCCCATAATATTAACCGTTTACATCACTAAAACACTGGAGAGATGGCCCATAATATTAATCATTTCATCATTAAAACACTGGAGAGATGGCCTATAATATTAACCATTTCATCATTAAATCACTGGAGAGATGGCCCATAATATTAACCATTTACATCACTAAAACACTGGAGAGATGGCCTATAATATTAACCATTTCATCATTAAAACACTGGAGAGATGGCCCATAATATTAACCGTTTACATTATTAACACACTGGAGAGCTGGCTCTGCAGTTAAGAGCACTTCTCTTGCAGAGGACCTGAGTTCAGTTCCCAGCACCCGCCCTGGATGGCTCACAACTGTCTTCAACTCCAGCTCCAGGGGATCTGATTCCTCTGCTTCCTCAGGCACCTGCGCTCATGTGCCCACAGACTGACACACGCAGAAAATTAAAAAATGGAAAACAAAATCTTTAAAAAATACTTGCTGAGGGGCTGGAAAGATGGCTCAGAGGTTAAGAGTACTGACTGCTCTTCCAGAGGTTCTGAGTTCAATTCCCAGCAACCACATGGTGGTTTGAAATCATCTGTAATAAGATCTGTGCCCTCTTCTGGGCTCCAGACATACCTGGAGACAGAACACTATATGCATAATAAATAAATTTTAAAAAAAATACTTGCTGAATTTAAATGTTCATAGACATAAACACTATGTGCTCAGAATGATACTTTAGTTCATCATAACAGCGTATGATTTCTATCGGGAATTTACACAGCAGCTGTAAGGGAGAGTCACTCTTGGTTCTGCAGAGATAAATGCAGGCCACCTACTTACCACCCTTGCAGTGCTTGCTGCCTCCAAAGCTGTGTCCCTTATTCCTTTACTCCAGATGGAGTTCCTGAAAACCAATGGCAGGGACCGCCTAGGAAAAACACCAACGACCTACTTCCCTGATTTTCTTGCATAAAGAGCCACAAAAAAACTATTCTGAAGCAGCGAGAGAAGGTTCTTTGCCATGCTGCCTCTTTGTGTGGAAGCTTTCAGAGCTCCAGGTAGGTGCTAGGAACTGAACTCAGGTCCTCTGGTGCAGCAACAGTGCTCTTAACCGCTGAGCCATCTTTCTGGTCAAGGGGAGGCTTCTCAGTAGCTTTATATACAAGAAACTAGGGAGTCAGCAATAGGCTCCTCCCAACTGAGGTAGGGGGAGGGAAACAGCCATACTATAGGTGAAAATAATCGATTACGATAAAAATAAAGTTGATCGCTAGGTGGCATACACCTTTTAATCTCAGCACCCAGGAGGAAGAGCCGGGCAGATTTCTGTGAGTTCTAGGCCAGCCTGGTCTACAGAGTGAGTTCCACGACAGTCAGGGCTACACAGAGAAACCCTGTCTTGAAAACAAAACAAAACAAAAAAAAAAAAAAAGAAAAGAAAGAAAACAACCAACACCAACACCAGAAAGCTGATCAATACCTAGCAGAGTGAAGTGTCTGCAGGGTCATGGACAGCCTGTTTATTCATGTCACAGGGAATCTAAGGGCCTCAGGAAAGGATGGGGAATGAGGACTGGCCTGAGATCTCACTATTGGGTACCACTTTACAATTTCATCCAATGCACAGCTTATGTTTGCTTGTTTATGTTTGAGTCAGCTCTGTCAAGGCACAGGCTGCCTTGAACTTGCAACAATTCCCCTCTTTCAGCCTCCTGTGTGCCCGGCTGAGAGGTGCACCCCATGCTCAGCTAAAGCTCACCTATTTCCAAGCAGCGTGGAAGGATGGTTCAATGGATGCTCTGAGGCAGTACCACTTCTGTGGAGGACAGCCCCTAGAGCTAGGAGGACACGAGGCAGGCCTGAGTCCTGCCAACAGACCCTCTGGGTTTATAAGCAGGAGGAGTCTTCATTTCTAATCCATCATAATACTGTCTTCATTCATAATCCTTCCAAGCTGTTCACTAAAGACTTTACATTTACACATTTACATTTTCCCTGAAAATTATCAGCTTTTCCCTAACTTTTTGGAAATCGCTTTATTTTTTTTTTATTTTAAATTTTATCTTATTTTATTTTGAGACAGCCCTGGCTGACCTGGAATTAGTTCACTATGTAGACCCAGATGGTCTACACAGATCTGCGTCTCTGCCTTGAGAGTGCTGGGATTAAAGACATGTTTATCCACCATCGTTTTGGAAACATTTGAATAGCTACATAGTATCTCCAAATGTCCAACCTCTTCCTCTACTATTGGATATTAGGGATTTTTAGGAATACTTTTTTTGCAAGTGAAGGAAGAGCAGGGCCTGATGGTACCCACACTTGTAATCGCAGCATGGGGGAGGCTGAGGGAGGAGGGCCAGGGCAGCCCTGGATACAGTGAGACCAAAAACCTACACCATGGCGGCGGGAGGGACTGCTCAGCAGCTAAGAGCACTGGCACCCTTCAAGAGGGCCCTGGTTTGTCTCACAACACCCACGTGGTGGCTCACACCCATCTATAATCCCAGTTGCAGGGTATCCAGAGCCCTCTTCTGGCCTCTGAGGGCACCACACACACAATGCAGGCAAAACACATACAAAAAAAAAAAAAAAAAATCTGAAGACAAATGTACAAACAAGCATACAACAGACCTAAAAATGAAAACAAAAGCAAGGTGTAAGGAGCCTCTCAGATGCCTCGTTCTGAGAGAGAGGGAGATGCTGGATACTGGGCTTTCAAGAAGAGCTTGGGTCTGGGCAGTGCCCACTGTGGCCCCAAAATGAGATACAAGCAGAAACAAGTCAACGCAAGTGTATTTCAAAGGTGTGGACTAGCCACACCAAGGGGATGGGGAGCCAAACAAATAACTTCTGCATTTTGAGCGGGGGTCTCACTGTGTACCCATGGCTGGCTTGCACTCATTATGCAGACCAGCATCATGTGTAACAACTATGCTTGTGTTCACAATGGTGAAGAACACGGATAAGCAAATGTAAAATTGGCTTCTGTAAACGCTGGGATTGAACAAGTCAATAAACTGTGATGCTAGAACTCTGGCTAATAGGGAAGGAATTAAAAGCCTGGAAATGATGGCGGCCTTATGGGCTAGACCTGGAAGTATGCATATGAACCCTCCTGTGACACAAACTGAGAAGCCCATGTGTAGCCACAGATTCAGGAGGAAACACAGCTGACTTAGTCCTCACACATGCACAGCCGCCATTCCCCAGCTAGGAGAACACAGCAGCGGTGAATACATACTCAAGTTAGTCTGGGGGTGGGGTGGGGTGGGGCTGGGGACAGAATCCAGGCCTTCTGCATGCTAGGCAGGCATACAGCTGGGCTACACTCCACCCCTCCACACATACACCCCCTATCTACCATCCCCTCAACCACAGCATACTATATATGTGCACGGGGCTGGTCACCAAACCCAGGACCCCAGGCCCACTTGGCAAGCACTACTGCTGAATTTTATTCCCAGCTGCAGACGCTGGTTTCTAGATATAGTGTCTCCATCAGAATACGGTTCTCCTTTAAAAAAAGAAAAAAAGATTCCAGTCAGGCATGGTTACACACGCCTATAATCCCAGCACTTGGGAGGTGGGGTGAGGAGGAAGAACTCAAGGCTATCTGGACTACACTACCAGTTAGAGGCCAGCCTGGGCTATGGGAGACAAACAAGGTGTACCGATTCCAGGGAAGGGGCAGAGAGATCAAATAATGAATACAGAACGTGGTGTTTCATCAGAAGTTGAAAAGCACTGTCGTCACAAAGGACATATGGCGGAAAGGACAGGAGACTGAAGGGCCTGGGTTAGTTTGGGACAAAAGCGGCGCAGTCTGTGCCCACTGTGTAGAACAAGAGCCTTTGGGCATAAACAGCACCAGAGGATAAGGAAAACTGTCCAGAGTACAACCATGGTCAGCGCAGAGCAGCTGTGACCCCTGGGGACACTGTGGACACTGTCCCCACCTGAGAACACTGTAGTAAGTCAGGAATTGCCAGTGACAGTCTGGAGGACACAGCATCTGACGACCCTGAGTTTATGCAGTCACCCAAACCCAGGAACGCTACAAAAAGTAGCTGCTTCTGCTGGGAGGTGGTGGCGCACACCTTTAATCCCAGCACTCGGGAGGCAGAGGCAATCGGATCTCTGTGAGTTTGAGGCCAGCCTGGTCTACAGAGAAAGTTCCAGAATAGCCAGGACTGTTACACAACACACACTGCTGTGGAATATTATTTTAATTGGGCAAAGATGTGTTACATGTGTTTATGCTGTGGAATATTACTTTCTGTGAAGGTGCGTTACATCTGTTTCTACTGCTTTTGTCTAACTGTGGAAAGATGTGTTGTATCTGTTTCACCGTGCCTGCCTAAGGCTCCTGCTTAGTCTAACAAAGAGCTGGACAGCCAATAGCTAGGCAGGAGAAGGGTAGGTGAGGCTGGCGGGCAGAGAGAAGAAGGAATCTAGGCTCAAGAAGAACTAATTACAACCCTGACTTCCCTCAACGACGGATGCGACAGGAGAATGTAAACTGAGTAAACCCCGTCCTTCTCAAGTTGCCCATGGCCGTGGCGATCATCTCAGTGACACAGTAGTAAGCTAACACGGCACTTCTGCCATAGCATGAATCAGTGTCGGAGGGTTCTCTCCTTCCACCATGTGTCAAACTCAGTTGCCAGGCTTGGCGGTGAGTGTCTTCACCTGCTAAGTCACCGCACTGTCCCCAAACCCCATTTGACCACAGGGCCTTCGCTCTAAACTACAATGCCCCACTGGCTGAGAGACTTTCCTTCAGAAGGAAGACCAGTCAACCATAAACTGAAATGTGAAGTTAAAAGGTAAGTTATATTTGAGTGAATGCCCCGCAGCGCAGCGCACGGCACCGCAGACACTAACCTGGCAGAAGAGCTGTTGCTGCGCTCCCGGGGCGTTGCTGAAAGTGCTGGTGGGTTTGGAAGAAGAGACTGGAAGACGATGGGGCACACTGGCTGGTACTGGAGTCCTGTTTGGTTGTGTCAGCTGGTCTCCCGTGAAGTTTGATCCCGATGCCCCAGACTGCACTGTGGACCCAAGACTGGGATGAGCTGTGCTGGCTGAGCTGGCCGCAGGGAACCGAGTAGGTCCGGACATGCTGGTCACTGAAGGCATGGCAGTAAAGCCTGGTCTTCCTTGGGAAGCGCTGCTCTGCCCGGGTGACAGGTGTAATACAGTAGGTGACGCCCGCTGCAAGGGCATCTGTCCTCCGACCATCTGAGGAGAGGCATGGTTGACGATCACTGGACTTCCAGAGGTGGCAAAAGTCTGCCCAGACACCAGCTGGACGGCGGCGTTCTGGTTGTTGAGCATCTGTCCAGAGTACGGTTGGTTGGTCCTGAGCATGTTAGAAGAATTCCTATTCAACATGACATGCTCCGAGGCCACTTGGCCGGAGATGAGCTGAGAGGGCTGAGTCTGAAGAAGTTGCCCATTTATGGTCTGGACATGGTGTACCGAGTTGGAGCTGACGGAAAGGCTTGTAGGTATAAGGAACTGACTTTGGGGGGCGTGAGGCTGGCCCATGGGGGAGTGAATGACGATACTGCCCCCTGCACTGCTCACAGCCTGCGAGGTGACAGGCTTTCTCGTGTTCTGTTGGTTGACAATGTTCACAGACATGTGTGGACCAACCACGGAGCCCTGGGGTGAGCTTGCGGAGGCGAAGGAGATGCCTTGCTGTACATGGTGCTGCTGGATTCCCAGGCTGTTCACATTGTATGCACTCTGCTGACCCATCTGGATCGGCTTTGGCTGGATATTAATTGGGACTTTATTTGAATTTGGCGTGAGACCCCTTTGAATAATGATGTTATGCACTGGTAAAGACGCCTGAAAATTTGTGCTGTTAAATGGAACGGTGACAGGCTGTGCTACGGGGCTGGAAGCGGAGTTCCCAAACAATGAGTTGCCATTAGGAGTCTGTCTGTGAACCAGAAGCCCTCCACTCACATTGCTTGGGGTTTGCTGCCCACTGCCTTTTAATATGATTTGCGAGCCATCTAGGTTATTAATAGTCATCATGGAAGGCTGATTACCAAATGACCCGATTAACTGTATTTGCCCAGAGCCACTAATCTGGCTGCTATTGGGCAAATGCTGGCTGGGAACACTGATCCCCACGTGTTGCATGAAGCCATGCTGCACACCCACTGTATTGCTTGCAAACGATGCTCCCACAGGCACGTGAGTCACCCCGATAGGCTGCAGCGTCTGACCTGAGTAATTAGAAACATTAGAAGCCTGAGTAAAGGATGCTGACGAAGAGGGATGAAGCTGAGCTTGTGCAAACTGCTGGCTTGAGCCTATACTGGCATCCAGGTACGCCTCTTCTGCCAACGTCTGTTCAGTGATATTAGCCTCCTGCAGGGATTTCTGAAGAATGTCAAAGGGTTGGTCCTCGCCGAGGTCAGGAAGAGGAGAAGACTCAAGTTCATCTTCAAGAAACTGAAGGCTACTTGAAAGTGGCAGTCCATCACTGGGCCCTTCTCCAAGCTGGTTACTTACACCTTTGAGGGACGATTTAGGGTCAGCATTCTAAAAAGCAGAAGCAGTGTGTGTTACAAGGCACATCGAACCTTCAGAAGACATCGTAAAAATCTCACTCTGTAATAAATGCAAATAAAGCTTAATGATAGGTTTTCAAGGCACACCAATTTTTTTGTTTGCCGTTACTTTTAAACTCAGGCTGGCCTGGGAGCTGCAGTCCTCCTGTGAGACACAACTCTCTCCAAACGGCCTGCCTTACTTTTCCTAGTTTATCCCATTGCTTTGGCAGATTGTTTTGCAGGGAACACATTAGAAGCAGCATGGGGTGTGGTGGCTCACATCAGCAGTCTCAGAACCGATGCGCGAGGTCAGCTTGGGCTACATAGCAGCTGTGAGGCAGGCAACCAGACTGTCTCATACATGGATGGCTCATGGTGGCACGGGCCTTTAATCCCAGCACTCTGGAGGCAAGTCCAGCTCTGTGAGATCAAGGCCAGCCTGATCTACATAGGGAGTTCCAGGTCAGCCATGACTATAGAGTAAGACTTGCTTCGAAAGCACAACAACAACAACAACGAACAGATACAGGCAGGCAGATAGATAACAACATGACCTAACTAAGGACACCTTGGAGATCATACCTTAATGTTTCTAAGCTACAGTGTCATATTTTTCCTTTCTTTCTTTCCTATCCCTTCCCAGCCCCCAAGACAGGGATTCTCTGTAGCCCTGGCTGTCCTGGAACTCAGAGATCCACCTGCCGCTGCCTCCTGAATGCTGGGATTTAAGGAGTGTGCCACCACACCTGGCTAGCTTTCCTTTTTGGGGGGTAGGGGTACTAAAGATTGATCTAGGACCTCACTGTGTGATATGCATTCCCAGAAAAACGTAGTTTCTGAGATTATTATTCCCAGTCTAAGACTACAGTGGGAGTCATCTCAGAGGGGTGTCCATCCATCCACCCCACTGCACCCCAAGATGGCAAATAAATGGGTGTCGCTCTGCTGGAGGTCTAAGATAGTACCCACTATAGCCCCAAAGACCAGGTCAGACCAAAGTAAGCCCCAACATAAAATGGGTGCTCCCACTTCCTCAAGCATTAACACTCAAGTATTAAAGCAAAAGTTCCTTAAAGTAAAAGCATGTGAACAAACAAAAACAAACCCAATTAACTCAAGCGTAAAAGCCACCGTTTTCCAGATATGTGTGTGTGTGTGTGTGTGTGTGTGTGTGTGTGTGTGTATATATATATGTATGTATGTATATGTATATAGTCCTTAAGGAATCCCTGGGGAACAGGCAATCCATAGAGACTACAATGCAGACCCAGGAAGAGAAGTTGAGGACAGTAATAAAAACTAAGACACCTACTATGAGCCAGACATTTTCTGTGAGACAGATTTTTTAAAAAGTAAAAAATACTATGAAGAAACAGCCACTTAAAATAAGAAGATAATATAAAATGATTTAAGACTACTAAAATGTATATACAACGAGAGTCAAGACTGTAATTAATATATTTATTTACTTATTTGAATTTGCTGCTCTGGGGATGGAACCCAGGGTCTCATGCATGCAAGGCACTATCATCTATCTCTGAGCTAACCCTCAGCCTTTAGGAGTAATCCTGCTGTGCATACCATACTATAATCAAAAAGAAACTAAAAGAAAGCTAAAAGCAATTTCATCAAAGACAACTATTCTTGAGTGTGTGGTACACGCCTTTAATTCCAGCACTTGGGAGGTAGGGGCAGGTAGATCTCTGTGAGTTGAGTCCAGCTTGATCTATACAGAGAAACCCTGTCTCAAAAAACAAACAAACAAACAAATGAAGACTGAGACTCTGATGATGATGGTGAGTCTGTGTTTGTTGACTACACCAAGAAGGGCTTTCCATGGGCCACTGTGAGACAGACAGTTTCCACTGTGAGATAGTTTGTTATTGTGAGATGGATAGTTGCCACTGTGAGATAGTTTGTTATTGTGAGATGGATAGTTGCCACTGTGAGATAGTTTGTTATTGTGCTTTTTGACTGTGAAAACTGAGGCCTACAGATACATCCAAGACTAACATAACTCATATGTGGACAGGGATTTGAGCAGTCCCACAGCATACCATCATCTGTAGAAGAGGAACGTAAGGGAAAAGATGAGGTGATATGCATGCACTTAAGCGGTAATTCTTCCTTTTGTGTGTATGGTGTGACATGTAGCATGGTGGGTCGGGGTGTGCATGCACCTGGGTCCTGCTCTAGTACCCTCCACTTCACTATAAGCACTTCTGCTGCTGAGCCTGGATTTTTATGTGGGTCCTGGGGATTTGAACTCAGGTCCTTATTCTGCCATAGCAAGTGCTCTCATCTACTGAGCCATTTCCCCAGTTCCTACACATAGCGATCTTAGCGGGTCTCCAAGTAAGACTCCTCAGTTCCCATCCTGCCTAAATTCTCCCAGAACTTAACACCATAGGCTCCGGAAGCTGGGGCCTGAGTCAGAATTCTAGCGATATGTCCCACAGCTGTGTGAATATGGGCCAAGTAGAAACCTCTCTGTGCCTGAGTGTCCTTGTCTCCACAACAGGGCTCATGGTAAAACCACTGCCTGGCAGGAGGGACCGTGACCATTAGATGCAGTGCCTACAAATCCTCAGGAGCAGGTACACGCTACATCCTCCAAAGCATTCTTTGTTTTTCTTGCTTCAGATGAAAATTTGTAAGTAGCTCTAATTAAAAAGTTTCCTTAAACTGATGTAGCAAGGTTGGAGACATTCTACTCTGCCTTCCTCATGGCCAGCAATGGAGTTATTTCAGAAGGCTGGAAGCTTAGGAGACTGAAATGCCAGAGAGATGGTCCCACAGGTGGAGGTGCCTGCCGCCAAGCCCAAGGAACCGAGTTCGATCCCTGGGGTCCGCACGGTGGAAGGAGAGAACTCACTCATGGCTCATGGTTGTTGTCCTTCTGACCTCTGCAAGTACACATAGATACACACGTAACCCCCTCCACCCATAGGCATACATAAATGTAAAAAAAAAAAAAAAATTGGTCAGGTAAATATAAGCCTGACTTATATGACCAAAAGAAAACACTAGCGTAATTAATAGATGTTTCCTCTCCTGTAAGCTGCAATGAGAGGCAATGGTTCTTATGCTACAAAGGCAATGAAAGTCTCAGTTCACAAGGTTTCCTTGAGGCAGAAAGCTTGCGCTCTGCTTCTAATACTCACCGTGGAGTTGGCGAAAATTGAATTGGAATTGGCTGCAGAATATCCTGCATTCGTCAAGTCATCGCTGCTCTGCAAAGGGGCAAAGTCAATAAGGTGGTTACTGGCAGGGTGTGGAGAACCAGAAGAGGTGTCTGTGTGAGACACCTGAGAGCCACTTACCGATTTATTACTAGGTCCGTGCAGAAAGTAGTTCAATGCTTGTGGGTCTCTAGAAAAGGAAGCGAGGGAAAACAAATAAATACTACTGCTTATATTTAAATATGCTATTGATGTTTTTAAGAAAGCAAAAAGAAAACAACACTCTTGGCTTGAACAAAAGCTCCCCATTTTAAGTTATTTCTTCATTTCTGCCTTGTGGGATCGACCTCAGGACCTGGTTTGTGGAGGCAGGCCCTCTACCGGCAAGCAACACCCTGGCCTGGCATCTTGGGACTTAAACAAAACAAAGCAGGAATGGATTACTGAATTGTGACGCATGAGTGAAACTATCTCTTTTGTCTCTCGGCTGTGACCTCAATTACTTATTGTTTTAAAAGACCAGCGGCTTCCCAGATACCCACTTGAGCTGTTTTTGTCTCTCCAACCTTGCACAAGGGCCCCAACCCTGGGTTCTGAAAACGCATCTTACCCAATAAGATCAAGGAGACACGAGTCATCATCATCATCCATGACAACTGCAAGGAAAGGAGAGAAAGTGAGCAAAGGGACCCAGTAGTGTGGACACACAGGGAATGTGACACCTGAGCTCTCCTGTCAGGGTAAGTGGCATGCAGGCAAGCTTTCCTTTAGATGATTATCAAGTGGTCATTTGAAAAATTTGTGGTTGGTGGGCATAGTGTCATTTGCCAGTAGTTCCAGCTACTCAGGGAAGACTGAGTAGAGAGAAGAACTTGAGTCTATGAGTTCAAGTCCAGCCTGGGCAAAGCAAGACACTAGGCTCATACATAAATAAATAAAGAGTAAATAAGCAATCGAGCCAGGCATGGTGGTATAGACCTGTGACCCCAGAAGTTGGGAGGTAGAGACAAGAGAGTCAGGAGATGAAGGAGGCCACTCTTGCCTACATGACAAGTTTGAGGCCAACCTGGGCTACATGTGACCCTATCTTAATAACAAAGTCAATAAAAACAAAGGTAAAATATATAAAATTCAGTTACTTGAACAAGTTTTTGACTTAAATATTTTATTATAGATCAGTTTTCAACTTATGGGTAAACAGATTCTAGAAAAATCTAAGGTAGCTGGCAGCAACCTCCTGCATATGGATTCGCTATCAGACTATAAAGGATAAAAAAATAACTCCATCAGATGTAGAATGGACATGGGCAGAGAGAAAATGTTGTTTTAGAAAAGCCTTCACAGACTCTGGAGACTTTCTGTGATGTGACTGGATGCTTCTAAGCAGGGAGAGCAAGCTAGGTCTCTCAAAATATTTTGGTGATCTCTAGGAAGGCAGAACGTAGAGGGTTCTCTCCACTTTCGGAGACAAAGCAGGAGGTCCTGCGCTGCTGGTAATACAGGCTCTGGCCATGGGGCCTGGGTGCTTCCCGGTGCAACAATACTGTCTAAGTTCAATGCTGAATAATCCATAGCTGGACTGAGAATGTTTAAAGTAGAAAATCTCCAGCACAAGTTCACCCCACTCGAGCCCAGAGCTCCCTCTCCCTGCCCGCAGCAGCCCCAAGCATGGCCAGCACAGCTCTGGCCCAGACAGTAACAACTGAGCAAATTCCAGGCATGGTTCTCCCCCCAGAGCCGGTCAACTTACACTAGTGATCCGACACCTGGCAACCTTGCTTCTCACCCATTTCAAGCCATGCGTGGAATAATTTACATCACAGAACGCCAGGGCCAAGAGTTCTGGAGCAGTTGGAAAGGGCAGTTGTGAACGGCAGTTGGACGGAGGAAGGAAATCCTGAAGAGATGCCCAGAGGAGGAGCATGCCCAGGGCGGCAGAAGGAATGGAGAGTCCTACAGAGAGTTTTTCCCTGTCCAAACTCCCTTCTCCTCGCAGCTCCCCCAGATCAGTCACAAGGCCTAACTGATGTAGCATTCCCTCCTGCCACAGGGGAGGGCACTTTCTCTAATCTGGAAGAGCATGGAAGGGTAAGTACTCCTTCCCCAGGGTAGCTGGGTTTGCTGGGCTGCTGAGTGATGGGGCTGGGTACACGTAGAGTAGAATCCATGGCAAGGAGAGGTAATGGGTGAGAAAGAGGAAGGTGGAGTTGGGAGACCTGTACCAGAAGACAACACCGATGGCAGAAACTAAGGATAGCCAGTCATGGGAAATGGGCTCTTTAGGACCCAGGCTTAAAAGTTATTTGAGGTCACGCTGGCATGAATGTTCCTGAACACATGACTTCTGGAAACAGGAAAACTATCATCATAGGGATATGTTGATCTGTCACACAAGCCAGGCTTGGTGGCAAACATCTGTACTCTCAGCACTTGGGAGGCACAGGCAGGAAGCTGAACACAAGTTTAAGGGCAGCCTGGTCTATCTACCTAATGAGTACCAGGTCAGGCAAGGTTACGTAAAAACCCATCTCAAAAAACAAATACCATAAAACAGAAAATACATAAGCAAAGAAATGCACAATACATTTGATATCTAATGAGCATTAGCTCATATCATAAACCATACCTCATCTCCCAGACATCACAATCACATGGGATAAATTGTCCTTTTATGATGTCTCTTCCAGCCTATAAAATGTACAGGATTTGCTTCAACGTGGCCATTTAAGTGGAATATCCCTGTATCCTTATTATCCTTATGTTTGTTGTTTGTTTGTTTGTTTTTGAGACAGAGTCTCACTATGTAACCCTGACTGGTTTGGAACCCACTATATAGACCAGGGTGGCCTTGAACTCCCCCTGGTTTTTGCCTGAGAGTGTTGATATTAAAAGTATGCATTATCACATATGGTCCTTCTAAACTTCATTTTTAAAGTTGAGGATAGGACTCAGCGGTCCAGCACATGAGATGCTACAGTTTGTTCTTGGCATCATAAAAGTGTCCAAGGCTCTGATACAAATTAATGAAGGAAAACATGGATGAAGGGGCTGAGGAGATGGGTCAGCTGGTGAGGGTTTTATTCTCTGCACCCACACACTGGCAACCCCTTGCTGGAGAGCACAGACAGGAAGATGCCTGGGCCCCCTGGCTTGCCATTCCATCATAACCCACAAGCTCCAGGTCCCAGGGAGAGACCCTGCCTCAAAAAGTAAAGTGGATGACTCCTGAGGAATGTCACCCAACTTTGGCCTCCAGCCTCTACACACACATATACACACGTACACACACGTAAAAAGTATGAGAAAGACCTACCCCTCTCCCCCCTAAAAAACCATGTCCATATCTCTCCCTCCCTGCTAACACCCTTATCTAGCTCCTCTGCTTGACAGATGCTGTGAGAAGGTGAACACCAGCCTCCCCGTGGGGTCACCCCACTAGCCCTAAAGCACTGAGACTGTTTGTTTACTTCAGACTTGGAAGTGACAAGCTACCCACTGGGTAGCCTTACAGGACAAGTATACATACATACATATTTGATAATGGGGATGGGACTCAGGGTCTCAGATGTGGTAAATAAGCACCCTATCCCAGCTAAGCAAGTTTATACTAAGAGATGAATCTAAGTTAGCATATATTCATGCTCCTTTACCAAACCAATGAGGCTCCAACACTTGATGTGAAAGCCAGCCCAACCAGGCAGGCAACCTCCTCTGGCCTGGGGTAAAACGCTACGAGCCTTCACACAGGGAAGCCCGAGAATTCTACTTCTTGAAGGCCGGTGGCTGGGAGTGGTGGCACACACTTGTATTCCCAGCACTTTCAAGGCAGACACAGTTGGATCTCTGTGAGTTCGAGACCAGCCTGAGCTACATAGAGACCCTATCTCAAACGAGAGCAAAAGAAGGGCCTGTGAGATGTCTCAGTGGGTTGAGGCGTCTGTCACGTAAGCCTGGCAACCCAAGTTTCATTCACACAACACACAGAGGTGGAAGGAGAGATCCAAGTCCACACAGCTGTCCTCTGTGCGTTCCCCACATAAAACCAAACAAAAAGCTTCCCCAATTTAATACTTTGAAAAGATTTGTATGTGTATGTGTACCACATGTGTGCCCAATGCTTTGGAACTGGAGTTGCAGATGGTTGTGAGCTGCCTTGAAGGAGCTAGGAATTGAACCTGGGCCCTCTGCAAGAGCAGCAAGCACTCTTGAGTGCTGAACCATCTCTCCAGCTCCCCAGTGTAACTTTTTAATTATAGCTAATGTACTTGTTTCGTGGTTTGTGTGTGCAGGTGTGTGTGTGTCCTGTGTGCATGTGTGGCCTTGCCTTGGACCATGTGAATCAGGCTTGTGAGAGAGGGCCGTGAGACACACCGGGCCGTCCCACCCTTTTGGGTTCTTAACGCTTTCTGTGCTTTTGTTGAGGTTCGTCCCTCATTCTTGTGCAGCCCCACAGCGGCAGGGTAGGGCGGGCACTGGCACCGTGTGAATTTTGTAAGGCTGTGTTATATGAAAGATGGATCGTTCTCTAGGGGAGGCTCCCAGATCAACGACTGGAAACCATGTCTTAGTCCAAGACAGGTAACGGGGCATGACAAAGTCTCAGTGACAGCAGCTCTGTGTGGCAGGACTCGTCCTAGGGGCAAGTGGGGAGGAGGAGGCAGAGGCTTGTCTTTGGGAGTCTTTGGAAGGTGACAAGTTTCAGCTCCTTTAACAGGTGAACTTCAAAAGAGAGATGAGTGGAGCTGCTTCCCTCCTTATTGTGTGTGTGTGTGTGTGCGCGCGTGTGTGCGTGTGTGTGCATGCGTGCATGTGTGTGTGCATGCGTGCATTTCCCTTATTGTGTGTGAGTGTGTGTGCGTGTGTGCATGTGTGTGCATGCGTGCATTTCCCTCCTTATTGTGTGTGTGTGTCTGTGTGCGTGTCTGTGTGCGTGTGTGTGCGCGCGCGTGTGTGCATGTGTGTGTGAGTGTGTGTGCGCGCGCATGCGTGTGGTAGCGTCCCATGCTGCCCTGGCTGGCATTGAACTTGTCATGGAGTCACAGTAAACTTGAACTCCTGCTCCTCCTGCCTCCACCTTGAGCCACCACATCCAGCTCTCTTCTCTTCCTTCTTCCAAAAAATACATCCTAGAGACGATGGCATTAAAGGACCGCCCAAGAGCCAGCACAGCAGGCTAGCTTACTAAAGCCAGAAAAGCATTGTGCTGGCTCATCTCTGGCACTATGCTGATCAGCAGTAGGGGGCGCCACAGAGCAACCTTGCTAGGCTGCAAACTGGACTGAGTCTTCAGAGCCCTGTTTGTCCGTTGGGAGACTTTTACTCAGTCTCAGAGCCGTCATCGCTATGATAAAGCCACTTGCGGGAGGAAACAGCCTTATTCCAGCTTAAACTTCTATATCACAGTCCACCATTGGGCGCAGAAACTCAGGGCAGGAACTGGAGACAGGAGCTGAAGCAGAGGCCATGGAGGGAGTTGCTCACTGGCTTGACCCCTGTGGCTTGCTCAACCTGCTTTCTTCTAGAACCCAGGCCCACCTGCCCAAGGGTGAGCGAATCCACAGTGGACTGGGCCTAGCCCTCCAATGCTCCACATGCTTGCCTCCAGACAATTCCACAGAGGCATGTTCTCAACTGAGGTTCCTTTCCCCAGATAACT